TTAACACAACACTAAGCAATATTCCAGCTGTGTGACAGTGGTCTGTAAATAATGAAGTCTGGACCAGACAATCCAGTGACTGATGTCATGAGCATCAATCCACGTAATTGGGATACGATGACACGCATCAACCAGGTCAGCAAGTCTGACCACCTGATCTCATTAGTCACCTGTTACGACAGGCATAGTCGACTGTTTCGGCAAGCCTAGTCGCCTATTTCGGCAAGCATGGGCTGCTGAAGACCTATTCTAACCCAGATCTTGACGGGGCATGAAGTGATGGAACGAGGCACTGACTGAGGCTCAAATTTGTCGTGACTGGGGGTAATAGTACTTTACAGAATTGGTCTGAACCTGAGTAAGTCCTAATGATTGGCACAGATAGAAGTCAAGTCTAGACGAGCAATTCAACTCTGTGCTCCTCACAATGGCCGACAATGCAGTAACTGAGTGCAAGCATGGAACCTTGTCATCCACACGTTTCAATATCAGGAAACACTATTTTGTGTTGTACGCTTTGGTAATCACAACACCATTTACAGATACATATAACATCAGTCCACATCGTGTTCAAGCATTTTAAATTCATCAAAATACATTTACAGACTAGCTGAAAAGGGCACCCTTGAGAGAAATGACACAAAATTAAAGAGGAACCTCATAGCATGTATTGTTCACAAGTGTACTAAACATACACTACTCAATATTTGATAGGGATGTCATTTTATTAAAATATATACGGGACATAGTATGAGAATCCATTTTGTAATTCATTGAAAGAAATAATGTCAATATTAAAAGGAGAGTAGCATGATTAGGGTGATTAGGCTCGGTGACATGGTTGGTGCATGTCATTGTATCCCAACTGCGTTGATCGATGCTCATGATGTCAATCACTGGATTATGTAGACAAGACTTGATTATTTACAGACCGCCATCATATAGCTAGAATAATGCTGAGTGTGGCGTTAAAGAACAAACAAACAAATCTTATAATTTGATCTGATCAGTTATCGTCCAATTAGGACTTTTTCCCCACAAAGTTTTTTCGGCATTTCATTATTGTTTTTTCTAAAATCAGTTACCAATACATGATACATGTTTTATTGTTGGATGACCCTCCCTTGAGTCGTCATGTTCTTTTCGTACCTCTATCTCCATTCCCCATCCAACACCCACACTAAATCATGATCCTCTTATCACAAACAGATCCACAAGAAATGGTCCGAGTTCATTTTTAGATTACCACTAATAATGATTCGCCAGTATTTGACAAAATAGTGACAATAATTCCCTATAAGCTGTAGCCCCAATCATCATTTATAGCCATGATGGAGACACATTATGTACCAGAAGGTAACCCTTAGTCCTCTCACCGAAGACCAGCCAATCTCCGACAGAATTGATGTCCTTGCTTCCATATTCCAAGGAACGCTGCACACACACACACAGAGTCCTGTGTTCCCATAGCCCGAAGACATTAGCTACACAAATCGAACACAGCAATAACAAGTGGAATTGAAACAGTAGTAGAAGTGTTCTGTATGTAGTTGATGAGACAGACAACATCAATACTTGATAAGTGGGGGACTGGAGGAGACAGGCTTTTATTCCCTGGAGTCTTGTGTGAGGTGATGGGTGGTAGGCAATCTTCAAGTCTACATATATCTTGTCATGGAAAACCGCTCATGCAATTCATTGATGGGATTCGTTGTCATAATGAATCATATTAATGATCGAGAATTACACACTATTTTCTGCAGCTTATTACTATTTGTGTGAAACTTTTTCAACTTTAACAGGGAAAGTATTACTGGAAAAATAAGTTGAAAGAAATTCACAGCAATTGGATTTGAAACTGTTTTAGTGGGTGTTTTTGCAGCTAATTAAATCAAGAAAGAAATTTCAAAGTTTTCAAATGAGGACAGGTGTGAGTTCATTTCCTGCCAATTTACCACTGCTTCAGTGGGACAGTGAGTATGGTTTTACACCACTTTTGGCAATATTCCAACAATATCACGGTGGGGGACACCAGAAATGGGCTTCACACATTGTACCCATGTGTGGAATTGAACCCTGGTCTTCGGCGTGCAGAGCGAACACTTTAACCACTAGGCTACCCCACTGCCCACCACTGCCTCAGATGGTTGTTGGTTGGTTGGTTTGTTGTTTAACGCCGCACTCAGCAATATTCCAGCTATATGACGGCGGTCTGTAAATTATCGAGTCTGGACCAGACAATCCAGTGATTGATATCATGAGCATCGATCCTCGCAATGTGGGATCGATGACATGCATCAACAAAGTCAGCGAGCCTGACCACCCGATCCCGTTAGTCGCCTTTTACGACAAGCATAGTCGCGTTTTACGGCAAGCATGGGTTGCTGAAGATCTATTCTACCCCGGATCTTCAGATGGAGTGTGCAGGTTTTGGGGCATGCTGGTGTGAGTGAGTGAATTTGTTAATGTCAATCAGCATTATTCACTTCTAGATGTAAAATGGCTGCCCGAAAATAATCAAGTCAGGGTCAGGCAAAGCAGCGGTGGAAAGAGCAATGATTAGCACCAACAGGGTACGATGAATCTCATTCAGTCAGGTGTCCCATTGTAAACCTCATTTTAATTGGCTGTTAGTGAGTGAGTTAAATAATGCTAGGAATATCACAATGTTTTGTTTGTCAGTTGTTTAACGCCACACTCAGCAATAATCCAGCATTATGATGGCGGTCTGGAAAGCATCAAGTCTGGACCAGACTATCCAGTGATTGACGTCATGAGCATCGACCTACGCAATTGGGGTATGATGACATGCATCCACAAAGTCAGCAAGTTTGACACCCGATCCTGTTAGTTGCTCTTATGACAAGCATAGTTGCCTTTTACAGCAAGTTTGGGTTGCTGAAGACCTTTTCTACCCCGGATTTTCACAGGTCTTGTACCACCATAATGTGATATGAACTGACATATGTACTCATCCTTTCTGAAACAACTAACAGGTTTCTGTCAAATTAGCAGTTTGTGTTATTATGTTAGACGCCTCTTACGACAAGCATAGATGCCTCTTATGGCAAGCATGGGCTGCTGAAGACCTATTCTAACACGGACCTTCACGGGTCGCATATAACAAAGTGACCACTTTGGAGAAACCCACAAAGTACAGAGATGGTGCTGAAACGCAATCAGGGTGAATCAAACTCTCGATCGGAGGTTTCTGTCACACTTAAGGAACACAACTCTGCCCACATCTTCCCGAGGCAAGGGAGATAACAGTTACTGACTATAAAAGTCAAGTTTCCACCCTTGCCGAACTAGGCTGGTATTATGGAGTTACATTTTGGCTGGACTAATGAGTCTATGCATAGTCCAAACAAAATAGCGCAACGAAATTGAAATCCGGTTCGATAACTGTTGTTCAGATTTCGGTTGATTGCAGGATTTGCAAAGCATGTGTACAGCCACCTCTTTGTCAAAATATATATTCCAAATCGTGCTCAAGTGATTTGATGCACTTCGTGATGTAAGACCCGTTTTATCACAATATAGATCTTGATTATCGATCGGTGCCGTCATTTTGTTTGAAGCAAATGCAAGTGATACGAGAGGTGGAATCTGATTGGTCTGTAGGAGAGGCTTAGAAGGGACATAACTCGTAATAGCCACTGATGGGGCTACGATCGAGCTGAGGAATTCCAGCCTAGTTCGGCAAGGGTGGAAACTGGACTTTTAAAGTCAGTTAACTCTCTTGCCTCGGGAAGATGCTCTGCACAGCGAACACGTTTGCCTTAGATTACTGTGCCACCCATGCCCCAGTTGGCTGTCATGACAAGTTTTAGTTGTTGGGAACCTATTCTGACACGACACACTGCATCATCCCTTAGACAACTACTGTAACATACCAGAAACTTCATTACTTGTAATGATAAGACTGTTTGGACGTAATTAGCAGTCTTTGAAAAGCAAACTTTCTAGTCCATAACGCAACTTGTCCTTCCACATAATTCTCAGCAGATTCACCAACAAAGTCATTACCTTCAAGTATCAGAGTGAGTGAGTGAGTGATTTGGGTTTAACGCCACTTTTGTCAGTATTCCAGTTATATCGCAGCGTGTCAGCTTAATGTGGGAGGATAGCCCAAAGTGATGCAGGTCTCAGACGTTTACCACTTTGGTGAAACCCACGAGCACAGTATGGTGCTGACAAAGCTAGAAACAAAATTTGGGGCAAACCGGGATTCAAACCCACAATCATAGGTTTCTGGCGTGCCCAAGGGACGCAACTCTGCACAGCGAATCGCGGCACCTTAGACTCAAGTATTAGATGTCTACAAGACGATATTTTAAAACAAAAAACATACCCAAAACATAAATCTTGTGCTTGCTGCTACTGAGCTGGTAAACATGACTACACCAGCAGATAATTAACTGAACTGTTAAAAGTTCAAATATTGTTCACTATTACCATGACTAGGCAAGACTTTTTCAAAACTTGGTTTACGAATCCACCAAATCAAAAACATTGAATTGTGAACCAAAAAAATTGAAAGGCAGTGTTTTCATAATTCATATCAGAAGTAAGCAATATGTTAAAAAAAATGAACTCATTTACCATGCTTACTGTCAATATCTAAATAACTATTTAAAGAAATAAACTAAAAACATGTTGAAAATGTGCATACCCACTTCTTTCCCCCTACCTACCCTACCAAAGTATAAAATATATACAATGAATTTGAAATGGGAATTTTAAAAATTTTAGGTTTCATTACCTATTGACCTGAATTATGGGGCCCTAAATCTGTAAACGAAAAAAAGAGAGTCTGGCCCTAGAACCGAAAACAAATGTGCTGTTTCCAATATTGAAACCTCCCCTGATTTTAACTATAGCAGACTGAAGATATTTATAGGTGTCCCAGACTGAGAAGTAGATTATGTTGAAGCATTAAAGGCTTATTTCTGTCTAAGTAAATTAACAAGCAAGATTCATGTACGTCTTCTGTGTACCTGTACTTCTTCATCACTTGGTATTGCTAAATCGGCAAACATCACCCAGTCCAGCCTTCAGGCAATATCCAAGACACCATCTGGTTACCGACGCCAAGGCTTAATCCCAATATAATTCCAGAAAAAATCCATCATATCAGACACAGTTTTAAAACAAAAAATTTAATTCCTCTCCTTAACATGCTTAACAAGTTTAACAACTGCAATTGATGAACACGTTCCAGCATTTAGCTCATGGAAACCAAGTACATGCAGTTTCTATTTCAATGGTCTCATTTAAGAAAATATGACGGTTATCGCTGGAATTTCAAGTTTGAAAATTTGACTGATTGCATTCAATTAGACTTTTCATGTCATTAACCTGCTATATAATCAATGCAATAGGATGCTCTAGTGGCAGGAAACTTGCATCTGGTGGAAATAATGACCCCTCTCTAGCCTTGTCAAGTTGGATGATTAGGTTCGAGGCAACCAGTGAAGAAGAGTCGGAGGAATACTTGAATAATCTTTGCTGGAAGGGACTCGGATAATTTGGAGAGCTGAAGTGAGAAGATTCACCTACATAAGACACTTAATCTGATCCTTCAAGTCCTGACAATTTTCTAATTAGCAGGCGATAAACAGACAGTTCTGTGGGACTTTGTTTGGAACATTTGAATAATGATTTCAGAGTTACACAACTTCGCATTCAGGGTTAACAGAGGTTAAAATGATCAGACACTTGCTAACACATCCAGATGAACAAATCAGACACTTGTTGACACAGCCAGTTGAACAAATCAGACACTTGTTGACACAGCCAGATGAACAAATCAGACACTTGCTGACATGACCAGATGAACAAATCATACACTTGACACAGCCAGATGAACAAATCAGACACTCGCTAACACAGCCCAATGAACAAATCAGACACTTGTTGACACAGCCCAATGAACAAATCAGACACTTGTTGACACAGCCCAATGAACAAATCAGACACTTGTTGACACAGCCACATGAACAAATCAGACACTTGCTAACACAGCCAGATGAACAAATCAGACACTCGCTAACACAGCCAGATGAACAAATCAGACACTCGCTAACACAGCCAGATGAACAAATCAGACACTTGCTAACACGGCCACATGAACAAATCAGACACTTGCTGACATGACCAGATGAACAAATCATACACTTGACACAGCCAGATGAACAAATCAGACACTCGCTAACACAGCCCAATGAACAAATCAGACACTTGTTGACACAGCCAGATGAACAAATCAGACACTCGCTAACACAGCCAGATGAACAAATCAGACACTCGCTAACACAGCCAGATGAACAAATCAGACACTTGCTAACACGGCCAGATGAACAAATCAGACACTCGCTAACACAGCCAGATGAACAAATCAGACACTCGCTAACACAGCCAGATGAACAAATCAGACACTTGTTGACACAGCCAGATGAACAAATCATACACTTGTTGACACAGCCAGATGAACAAATCAGACACTTGCTAACACGGCCAGATGAACAAATCAGACACTCGCTAACACAGCCAGATGAACAAATCAGACACTCGCTAACACGGCCACATGAACAAATCAGACACTTGCTAACACAGCCAGATGAACAAATCAGACACTCGCTAACACAGCCAGATGAACAAATCATACACTTGTTGACACAGCCAGATGAACAAATCAGACACTTGCTAACACGGCCAGATGAACAAATCAGACACTCGCTAACACAGCCAGATGAACAAATCAGACACTTGTTGACACAGCCAGATGAACAAATCAGACACTCGCTAACACAGCCAGATGAACAAATCAGACACTTGACAACATGACCAGATGAACAAATCAGACACTTGACAACACGACCAGATGAACAAATCAGACACTTGTTGACACAGCCAGTTGAACAAATCAGACATTGCTAACACAGCCAGATGAACAAATCATACACTTGCTAACACAGCCAGATGAACAAATCAGACACTTGCTAACACAGCCAGATGAACAAATCAGACACTTGTTAACACAGCCACATGAACAAATCAGACACTTGCTAACATGGCCAGATGAACAAATCAGACACTTGCTAACACGGCCAGATGAACAAATCAGACACTCGCTAACACAGCCACATGAACAAATCAGACACTTGCTAACACGGCCAGATGAACAAATCAGACACTTGCTAACACGGCCACATGAACAAATCAGACACTTGTTGACACAGCCAGATGAACAAATCAGACACTTGTTGACACAGCCAGATGAACAAATCAGACACTTGCTAACACGGCCACATGAACAAATCAGACACTTGTTGACACAGCCAGATGAACAAATCATACACTTGTTGACACAGCCAGATGAACAAATCAGACACTTGCTAACACGGCCAGATGAACAAATCAGACACTCGCTAACACAGCCAGATGAACAAGTCAGACACTCGCTAACACAGCCAGATGAACAAATCAGACACTCGTTAACACGGCCAGATGAACAAATCAGACACTCGCTAACACGGCCAGATGAACAAATCAGACACTCGCTAACACGGCCAGATGAACAAATCAGACACTTGCTAACACAGCCAGATGAACAAATCAGACACTCGCTAACACAGCCAGATGAACAAATCAGACACTCGCTAACACAGCCAGATGAACAAATCAGACACTCGCTAACACAGCCAGATGAACAAATCAGACACTCGCTAACACGGCCACATGAACAAATCAGACACTTGCTAACACAGCCAGATGAACAAATCAGACACTCGCTAACACAGCCAGATGAACAAATCAGACACTCGCTAACACAGCCAGATGAACAAATCAGACACTCGCTAACACAGCCACATGAACAAATCAGACACTTGCTAACACGGCCACATGAACAAATCAGACACTCGCTAACACAGCCAGATGAACAAATCAGACACTGGCTAACACAGCCAGATGAACAAATCAGACACTCGCTAACACAGCCAGATGAACAAATCAGACACTCGCTAACACGGCCAGATGAACAAATCATACACTTGTTGACACAGCCAGATGAACAAATCAGACACTTGTTGACACAGCCAGATGAACAAATCAGACACTTGTTGACACAGCCAGATGAACAAATCAGACACTTGCTAACATGGCCACATGAACAAATCAGACACTTGTTGACACAGCCAGATGAACAAATCATACACTTGTTGACACAGCCAGATGAACAAATCAGACACTTGCTAACACGGCCAGATGAACAAATCAGACACTCGCTAACACAGCCAGATGAACAAATCAGACACTCGCTAACACGGCCACATGAACAAATCAGACACTTGCTAACACAGCCAGATGAACAAATCAGACACTCGCTAACACAGCCAGATGAACAAATCATACACTTGTTGACACAGCCAGATGAACAAATCAGACACTTGCTAACACGGCCAGATGAACAAATCAGACACTCGCTAACACAGCCAGATGAACAAATCAGACACTCGCTAACACGGCCACATGAACAAATCAGACACTTGCTAACACAGCCAGATGAACAAATCAGACACTCGCTAACACAGCCAGATGAACAAATCAGACACTGGCTAACACAGCCAGATGAACAAATCAGACACTTGCTAACACGGCCAGATGAACAAATCAGACACTTGCTAACACGGCCAGATGAACAAATCATACACTTGTTGACACAGCCAGATGAACAAATCAGACACTTGCTAACACGGCCAGATGAACAAATCAGACACTCGCTAACACAGCCAGATGAACAAATCAGACACTCGCTAACACGGCCAGATGAACAAATCAGACACTTGCTAACACAGCCAGATGAACAAATCAGACACTTGCTAACACGGCCACATGAACAAATCAGACACTTGCTAACACGGCCAGATGAACAAATCTGAGCAACATCCCACGCTGTCATTGTCTGATGACACACCATCAGGGTTGCCAATTACATTTAGTTGCCACTTACAAGTCACTATGTGTGAGAAGCAGAGAATTATGTAGGATTCCAAACTTAAAGAGCCCTTGGCAAGCAATTGGGATTTTTTAAAAACTTTTTCATTTGAACATTGCAGTCATCTTGCTCATTCAAAGCAGAATGTAAAAATATGCACTAAAAGCCACTTCCTCTCACTGCTATCAGTGGAATACCAGTCAATTTGACAAAGTCATATCACATAAACATCAACTAGGAACAATTCTCAATTCCCATTTGGGAATTTTTACTGACATTTGCAATCAGACTGGGGGGCTGAATATCAGCATCTCAACAGGCCTAGTTAAGTCCGTGATCTGGAGTGATTGTGACATAAAAAATATATCTAGAACCTAAAATACGCACAGACTGACAGCCTGATTCGTCACCTTTGATCAAAAAGAAAACGATCATGACAATGTAACAATTTGAAATACTTTATCGCAGTTTCACCTGCTGCCTGTATTACCAGCCATAAATCCTAGCCCACTTCTCCCTTTACCCAACACCAGATCATGCCGACATTCAGACACTCATCAGACACAGATACAGACACACATCAAACTGACCACACATTAAACCCTAGCCATACAATCCAGAGATATGGTAATGGCAGTCCACAAACCCAAATAATGCTAGCAATTGCGTACCAAACTACCCAATGAACTGACTCGGGTCAAATTGTCTTCAACTGGCTGGCCAAGGTGTTTTCTAGCCAAATCTCGGCTGACAGTGAAAAGAGCCTTTCTTCACTTTCACCAATTTGCAGTCGCTGTGAATCAGGACTGGAGCCACCAAGAATAGCAATGACACAAATTACCCACCCAGGGATTCAGTGTGTAGTCCTTGATGACAGGAAGAAGACTTCCTGGATAATCCATTTGCAAATTCAGACATTTGCTGTTATGTTGAGTTCTGATCTACTTTCTTCATCGGAATCAGGAATGTGAACAACCATTCGCCTTCGATGTGGCATTTCCTGACAAATCAAGCTGGTTCATATTTCCATCCTGGCATTTGGCAATGACTCATATGTTCATTCAACCAGAATTGAATATATTTCTTCATTCATTTTTTAGGAAACCTGAGCTGAGAATAAATCCATGAAAAAATAATAAGGCCATTTTGCAGCAATCAAATTGCAAATTTGCGAAAAACGACAAAATAATTATTTTTGAATCCCAAAAAATCGGTAAAGCATCATTTGGGCAGATTACAAAATGTCAATATCAAATGCCAATCAAAAGGGATGATAACAGCTGCTTCTCAGTTAATTTGCACGACAACCATCACATAAAAAACAATTTCAGACAAGACATGGCTGCTCTTATAATTGTTACAAGATCCAAGACAGCAGTAAGCACCAAAGACGTTCAAACCAAGCCGTGAAACATCCTTTCAAAAGTAATCTTGTGAAAATTGAAAATAAACGATATTTGCAGGAAGGGAGTTCTACAGAATCGAAGATGAAGATGAAAACTGTGGACAGAAAAATCACCCGAAGATGATCAATAACC